AAATGTCAAATTGACTCAAGATATTGTGAATTAGAGAGGCGCATGCGCACAGCCTAACGAAAACCTCGTGCTTTTTATAACTCCAAATTTATTTTAAATATTTGTACCTATTTGTTTAATAAAATATCAATTAAGTGTTAAACCATTTCCGAGACATTTGTGCTTAAGAATAATACATAATCTGGCCAGTTATACAACTGTAGTAGTATGGGGCATAATTGGGGAGACACAGCAAACCCCCACTCCGCGGTCACTGGCGCCAGACCTTTTCCTCACCCCTCAGCGGGGGTGTTGGGGACGGCTGTCTGGGTCTTTTGATTGACAGTTAATATACTTGTTGAAAATGTGTTTTCTTGAATGTTTACAGATGTCATGGCAGGGGGGTAATTAAGATGGTAAGGATATGTTTTTTATGTTGAAAGATGTAGATTGATGTTTGGGACCTGTTCTTCGTTATCTTGGCAGGGAGGGTCTTGGCGTTTTCTTGAGAGGTGATAATTGGGTATGGGGAAAATGTATGGTGGGTATTTGCATGTATAAAGGAAAACATGTGGTCCTTTCGGCAGGGGGCCTTGGAGAAGTGTGAGGTGTTTTGACAGGTGACATGATTAATTAAAAAATGACTTTTGAGGATAAAAATATAATGATGTATAAAAACCGGTCTAGGAAAAGTGCGAGGATAATGTTTTCAGAGGGGATGGTTAGGGTTCGTATATTAAAACCTCGATGTATCTCTAGGACTTATACTAGAAAACTTGAGATGGAGTGGAGAGAGGCAGAGCTTCTATTTGAGGTCTTTACGTTTTTCCAAATAAATTTTTCATCATTCTTGTCGCTAAGCGCATACGCAATGGAGCATTCAAATTTCCCTGTAATCGACGAGGTAATCGAAGCTGAATTATTAGGGTTATTACCTGAAAATTTAGTAAATCTAAACTCACTTCATTTAGAATCACTTACATCGGGTGAAGTGACAAATAATGTGAATAATTTAGCTAACGAAAATGAGGATATAGTGTTTTTGCGTGAGTATGGGATTACAATGAGCCCTCAACATCACGTTGAAGTTGAAGATTTTAATGAGGATTTGTTTGATGGTAAGTTGAGAAATTATTTCTTATTATTCGAGGTTTTACTATTGTATAACTTAATTATGTATTAATACTCTTTTTATAATTAGGCATCATACAACACGTAAGAGGAAGAGAACAAGATCGTATTATTGAAGAAGATGGCGAGAATTCCAATAATGAAGACGAAATAATAAACGAAGATGTTGAAAATAATATTATAGACCAGCCGCTAATTCAAACTTTTAACGGAGTTCAACGTCTTGAAAGGTTTCGGGTAAACACTCATCTGATGGAATTTCGTATACAGGCTGCCCCCCAAGGTGTCAATACAGTTCACTGGACCTTAAGGGCTTTTCGCAAAGTTTACAATAAAATAATAGAGGCAGGTGGAGCTGGACACAACCGATTTTGTTTGAGTTTTCGTTTTGATGGGTTACAGGGTAATGCAGCATTTCAAAGTATGCGCCCTATTGATGGATATGAATTTGAACAATTGTGGGATTTAGTGAACAAAATTTCGCAAAGTGCTGGTGGTTTTAATGTAACAGACACTTTTCAAATAAAGTTACACATTGTGGAAGCAGTGATTGGACAAAAATATTCCGAGGCATGCGACAGAAAACGTCCACCCGGAGTGTTAAAAATGAATAATAATGATAATCTTTGTTTACCTAGAGCTCTTGTTATGACACTAGCAAGGCAAAGAAAAATAACCGAAAAGGCCTCCATTAGACCATTGTATGAAGAATGGAATCGTATACGTGATTCGCGAAATAAAGGAAATTCTTACCAAAAAGAGGAGGCTTTGAAACTTATCGCAGAGGCTGGAGTGACAGTACCTGAGGATGGTTGCGGATTACCAGAAATAAAAAAATTTCAAGCATATTTTATACCAATGAAAATAGCGATCATTGTGTATAAATTGAAAATCACTCCTTCAACTGCATCAGACGACGTAATTTTCGATGGGTCAAACACCGTTATTGCTCAAAATGGAAACATAATTCACACACTGAGAATTCTTTATTACCCCGAGGAAAATCACTACGAATATATTCAGACAATATTGAGTTTTCAGGCAACACGACATTATTGTGAACCATGCAGGGTAACGTTCAAAAACCCGTATGATCATAAAAATTGTTCTTACATGTATAATAAATGTTATGCTAAACCTCCATGTGATTCAACACAAGCACAAAAATTTTGTAACAATTGCAACCGCGTGTTTTATGGGCAAATGTGTTTTACTCGCCATCTTAGACCTGGTTCGTATCAAGGACAGCAAACGGTTTGTGAAAATGAGCAGTTTTGTACAAATTGTAAAATTTTTACTTATCCGAGAAAATCAAAACATGAGTGCGGTAAATCAATGTGAACGATTTGTAATAAATTATGTAAAGATCAGCATCTGTGTTATATTTCGGTTGCCAAACCTTTAGACAATAGTAAAAAGTACACACGATTTGTCTACTATGATTTGGAAACACGTCAGGATGACGAACTTTATGTGGGCACATCAGTCTATAAACATATTCCTACTTTATGCGTTGCTCAATCAGTATGCAATTTATGTTGTGATAATGACAATTTTAATCCTAATTTAAGTGATTGTATTAATTGTGGGTTAAATGAAATTAATTTTCATGGTGAGGATTGTGTTGAGAAATTTGTGAATTACATTTTTGATCTAAGTAAATTGAAAAACTGTAAAAAAGTGATTTGTATAGCTCACAACGCCAAAGGATTTGACGGTCAATTTATTCTATCGGAAGTTATGACAAGACAATACAAAGATATAGATGTAATAATAAACGGTACAAGTATAACATTGTTAGAATTAAATAAGAAAAAAATAAAATTTATTGATAGTTTAAACTATATGCCAATGCCACTAGCTGCCCTTCCTAAAGCTTTTGGTTTTGAGGATCAAATAAAGAAAGGTTATTTTCCTCATTTATTTAATACTAGAGAAAATCAAAATTATGTAGGGGCTATACCTGATAAAAAATATTATAGCCCTGACTCAATGAGTAAAACAGAAAAAAATGAATTTTTACAATGGCATAATGATCAGTTAATTATAAATAAAGTATTTAATTTTAAAGAAGAAATTATTTTTTATTGTCGCTTAGATGTAAGTATTTTACGTATAGCATGTAACAGATTTCGTAAAATTATTTTAAATTGCGGTGATGTATGTCCCTTTCTAGAATGTACCACGATAGCCTCTACCTGTATGCTGTTTTATAGACGCAACTTTTTAAAAGAACAGCAAATAGGTATTGTACCACGTTCAGGATACCGCTTAGGGGATAATCAGTCTAGAATCGCTCTTGAATGGCTTACATGGCTTGAAGAAAAAAATAATATTTAAATAGTTCACGCTTTACGAGACAGAGAAATCAAGACACCAAATGGTGTAAAATTGGATGGTTATAGGATTGATAAAAACGGGGTAAATTATGCTTATCAATTTCACGGATGCTTTTGGCATGGTTGTCCTAAATGTTTCAAAAATGATCGAGAAAATATTATCTATAAAACCGGAAATAAAAAAAAAAAGAATAATACTCTCAAGTCAAGATATGAGGCCACACAATTGCAATCTTTAAAAATTAAAGAATGTGGTTATATCTTAACTGAGATTTGGGAATGTGAATTTAATAGAGAAAAAAAAAATAATCAGGACTTGCAATTATTTTTAAATAGTTCTAAAGTGATATCAGTTAAATCTTTAAATCCTCGAGATGCTTTTTTTGGTGGGCGTACAGGCAACTTAAAAACATATTACGACGTAAAGAAAAATTCAAAGGGCGAAGATATTGAAAAAATCAGATATGTCGATGTATGTTCGCTGTATCCTTGGGTTTTAAAAACCGGTTGTTTCCCTATCGGTCACCCCAAAGTTTATGTGGCCGATGCATGTGAAAATATAGCACCAAGTAAAAATATAGATAACGTTCAAGGATTAATTAAATGCAGAGTATTACCCCCATGTAATCTATATCATCCAGTTTTACCTGTCAGAGGGCATGGAAAATTATTTTTCCCTTTATGTCAAAGCTGCTGTCAAGATCAAACACAGACTGATTGTCACCATGAAAATATATCTAACCGAGAGTTATGTGGTACATGGGTTGCATGTGAGCTTAGAAAAGCTGTAGAAAAAGGGTATGTTATTCGAGAAATTGATGAAATTTGGGAATACCAGGTAGTACAATATAATCCTCAAGATAAAAATAGCGCAGAGTTATTTGAGGGATATATAAATACTTTCTTAAAAATTAAACAACAGGCATCCGGTTGGCCTAGTCAGTGTGTAGATGAGAAATCTAAGCAAGAATATTTAGATAGGTATGAGGAAAGAGAAGGGGTTAAGTTAGAGCAAGAAAAAATTGAAAAAAATCCTGGGTTAAGATCTTTAGCCAAGTTATTTTTAAATTCATTTTGGGGAAAATTTGGCCAGCGGGAGAATATGAAGAAAAAGTCTATAGTTCGAACATGTGAAGAATTATATGACTTAGTTTTTGATCCTGAAATAGAAATAACTGAATTTGTCCCTATTAACAAAGATTCAATCATTGTAAATTGGATAAATAATGTAGATAGTTACACCCCATCAGACAGGGCGAATGTGGTTATTGCAGCATTTACAACAGCGCAGGCAAGATTAAAATTATATTCTTACTTAGATTATCTAGAAAAAACTAATTAAACAAAAAGGAGGAGCATTTTTACCAATGTTACTAGGACCATTGCTTGCTAGTTTAATATCTAATCTATTCTAAAATTATGGAACATGCGAAAAAGATGGTGCTTATTCCTTATGAAGATATTGATAAAGTGAAATCTGTACCAAAAAATTTTGAACAAGTGTTAACTTCTCTTAGTAATAATTATTTGCCAACGTCTCAAACTCCAGGGGACCCAGAGACTCGTCTTGATGTGGAATTAACTAAAATTTTGAACGAAACTTCGGTAGACACTAACACTCATGATAAAGTAAAACAATACTCTGAATTATTAAGACGCTATTTATTCTTCAAGAATCAACATCGCGAGAATAATTCTACGATTGAGAAAATTGAAAATAATGAAGTTATTCCTGACACTAATGATTTTTCTGCCATTAATGGAAATCAAGAAATTAGTAGTATAGCGATAAATAATAGTATTGCTGAACAAAATAAATCGTATAAAGTTTCTGACATAGTAAATGGTGTCCCAAAAACCTATCAATTAGCAGCGGAAAATATTCTACGTCATATTGAGTCTGTAGATAGTGGTAAACGGTTACAGTGGGACGATAAAGGAAGTGTTACTTTGGATAACCGTAAAATACCAGGTGCTAATATAGTTGACCTTATAAATGATGCTGTACGTCATAGAAAAACTGTAAAGGTTACAGGTAGAAATTTTTTTGCTTCATTTTTACAAGAAATCAACACTCCACGAGAATTTGTAGGAAATAGTAGCTTATGGAATAAAAGTTTACCAGGTATAAAAAAATTACCTATTGACGCCTCTACTCCTAAGCGTAACATGAGAAGTAATGATTCATCAGGAAATTCACAAAATTTTCTATCCTTCACGAACAATACTCCGCAAAACGGTGGCAATAAAAAACACTTATATAAAAATTCATTTAAATGACTTCGCTTGTAGATGAAAAAAATCTTGAAAAGGAATACTACGACCCTTCTAACCCTGTGTCATACTCTGGAGCACGTAATTTACTGGAAAAATTCAAAAAAAATATACCTGAAGAAAAAATAAATGATTGGCTAGCTACTCAAGATGCTTACACTAGACATAGACCTACTAGACGTAAATTTCCAAGGTTACATTGTAATGTGAACAATATAGATGATGTATGGGAGGCTGATCTTGTAGAAATAAAATCTTTAAAAACTTATAATGATGGTGTTTCATTTATCTTGGTTGTAATAGATATTCTAAGTAAATATGTATGGGTTGAACCCTTATTAGATAAGTCGGCAAAATCAGTTTTACAAGGTTTTAAAAATATTTTTGACCGTAGTAAAGGTCGTATACCTTTTATGATCCAGAGCGATAAAGAAAAAGAATTTGTAGCAGGTAGTGTAGCAGGCTCTCCAAGGAGCTAGTGTAATAGACCTGTTCTGGACTAACTACAAAGGCTCACAAGTGGTTACCACTCTCCAAGTAGGTGACGACTCGCATGGCTCCGATCACTTTCCGATAAGATTAAAAACTACCACGAATATCGCCCACTTCCATCCCAGATCCACCAGAAATCAGTCCACATATAAGCTAATTTGGAAACCTGAACTGGCTTACAACTTCACAGACAGTCTTTATCACTCTCATCGTCTACACACATCATTCGAAAACTCTGATGTAGAACACCTCGCATCCAATCTACTCACCGCGATATATGAAGCAGCCGACTCAGCTGGGCTCTCAACCCATATCAAAACCAGAACTGGAACTAGAGCTACCAAGAAGCCTTGGGAAGACCAAGAACTTAAAATGCTAAGAGCAAGGCTAACCAAGCAGCAAAAAATCTGCAGACAATCTGGATTCACTTCCAATAACTTGACTTTACTGTTGAATACCAAAAAGAGTCTGACTAAGGCAAAGAAACTGAAAATACAAGAATATCATCGCAACATAAGGAACACTTTAGCTCGCACTTCCAACCCCAGTCAATTCTGGCAACTGGTCAAAGCCCTGAGAAAAACTGCCCCTACCCCAAGCACAATCCCACTGATCACCTGGAAAAACTTCTACTTGAAAATCTACCCTCCAAGAAACTCCAACACTTCCGAATTCAATGACGAACCACATCATTACCTGGACCCGGACTTCTCTTACCGCGAGATCAAATATGCAATCCGCAAGAGCAAGAAAAATAAATCTCCTGGGCCCGATGCAGTTTTCAATGAACACATTCAACACCTTCCTCCATGCTGGCTAGTCTACCTTAAATCACTCCTCAACAAAATTTGGCACTCGGAAGAAATACCTCAATCGTGGCCAACAGCTCACCTAACTTTAATACATAAAAAAGGCCCTAAAGAAGACCCATCAAACTACAGAGGGATTGCGCTGCTGAACAACTTGCTAAAAATTTTAACCAGCATAATTCAAAGAAGAATAAATCACTGGATGGAGGATACAAAAATTGTCCCAGAAGAACAAGCTGGATTCAGGTCTGGCCGCAGCTGCCTGGACCAGATCTTTACCATCACAACAGCACTCCCATCCAAGATCAGACTCGAGGGTAATACCGTTTACTGCATTTTCATAGACTTCAGGAGAGCTTTTGACTTAGTACCACATAATCTACTCTGGAACAAACTTTTTAAACTTGGAGTCAGTGGCAAAACAATCCGAACAATTAGAGCAATCTATGAGGAGGCTAAAATACAACTAAGGGTAGACGGAAATCTCTCCAAGAAGTTTGATGTCACCGAGGGAGTATTACAAGGGGATAAACTAAGCCCCACGCTGTTCATTTTGTATATCGCAGACACTAGAATTCCTCCAATCGAAGGGATTCAGAGGACTTAGTCTAGGAGCCAACACTCTTCACGCCCTTCTCTTTGCAGACGCTGCTGTAATTTTTGCCACAACCATCCAAGAGACTAAAAAGATCCTCCTAGCCTTAGAAAAATACTTTGACGAAAATAAACTCACTGTCCACACTGGGAAAACCCAAATTATGGTTTCACGTGCTTCGGGAAGAATTAAGCAGAATGCCTTCTTCTATAAAGGTAACCCAATCAAGACAACAACTAACTATAATTACCTGGGTATTAACATGGATAGTGCAACAAAGGGCAATCTAGCTGCACAAACGGCGCTATGTAAGGCGAAGACAGCATCCGGTACGGCATGCTCTATACTAACCAAGGCAAGAGCCGACTTCTGGAACGCCAGAACCCACCTGTTTAATAGCTTGGTAGCTCCAACAATTATATATGGAGCGGTAACTTGGGGCTTAGACCATCTGGAGATAATTGACAAAGCACAAACAGACTACTTCAAAAGAATTCTACTGTTAGCACCAAACACTCCAGGATATATGATCAGGCTGGAAACTGGAATCACCAACCTCTCAGCAACTCTCCTAGTACAAATATGGAAGTGGATAACACGCATCCTCAAGATGAAGGATGATCGCTGGTCTAAAATCTGCCTGCTCAATCTCATTAAGCTGGCAAGTAATCCAAATCTCAAGACCAAGTACAACTGGGCCGAAAAGTTCAACAAAATCATCAAGGAAACTAATATGCCGAACATGTTCGCCAACCTTGACCCCAAGTTCTGGGAAAAACATCTTGCTGACTTCCAAAAAGCTGCGGTGGAAAAAGCAAAACGCCAAGACTTTGATTGCTACATACGCTCGACATCCTTACAATCTCAACTAATATGGACTAGACAATCTGACACGCCCATGTACTTGAAGATCCGCTGTCCAATCTACCTGGCTCGTATGGTTGCCCAACTGCGACTCGCAAATAAATATAACTGCCGGATCACGTGCCTTGAACACCATCTCCGCTTATCCTCCAGGGAATCCTGCAAAATATGTAACTCCAGTGTTGAAACAGTTGAACATATATTGGCATACTGTCCTGCCCTAGACGATCTGAGAAATAAATACCTTCACAATATCGCCGTAACCTATCCAATAAACACACGCACGCTGCACACCCTGAATATCCACTCCAAAAAAGAAATGGAAAACCTGGCTCGATTCATCGCTGCAGTTTCTACCAGAAGATCCAACACCTGCTTCTAATCCTCCCTTTCTCCCCCACATACAGCTCTTTTCTCTGTCACATTAAACTCTTCCCAAAAATAAATAAATTGGTGCAAATAAATAAATAAATAAACATGTAAATAAATATGTAACTGTTGGACCTCTCAAATCGCAAATTGTAAATGAGATACATTGTTATTATCTTAAAAACAATTAATATACTGAATACTGAATACTGATATTGTGAATTATAAAATATTCGAGTAAAAAAAAAAATAATTTTGTTTTTTTATAAAGAGGTGTACAACAAATTTTTTTGTTAAACATTTCATGAAGTCATAACTTTTATGTTGACATTATTATATCGGGACTTAGACAGACTTGAATGTAAAATTTACGCAAAAAATAGAGCAACATATTTAATTTTTTCCCTGTAGGACCTTTAGAAAACCTAACGATAAAAAATCAAATTTCTGAAAGTTGATTAACTCATTTGGAAATTTGGAATCAATTAATATCTATATTGCCGAATCGATTTTTTAATAGTTAACAAACTATTTTTTTCAACAAATAGAAAAATTTTCTTAAAAAAAGTTTATCCACACGATAGGATATCTTCGTCTTCACGAAATTCTAAATCGTTTTATACCTACATTGTAGAAACAAATTTTGAATTATTAACTAACAATTTTCTTAAACAAATGGTAAATTAAAAAAAAAAGTTCTCCACACCATAGGATATCTTTACGATTCATGAAATATTGAAACGTTTGATACCTACATTGTGGAAACAAATTTTTAATTGTAAACTAACTATTTTTTTAAACAAATAGAAAAATTTAAAAAAAAAAACAATTTATCCACATGATAGGATATCTTTACGATTCATGAAATTCTGAATCGTTTGATGTCTACATTGTCGAATTGATTTTTTAAAAGTTTAATTTATTTATTTATAAAAAAAAAAATTAGTTAACATTTTAAAAATCGATCTTTTGTCGATAGGTTTTCTGGACGATTCATGAAATTTGGAATCGATTGATACCTATATTATGGGATCGATTTTTTAAAAGTTAATTAAAACTTAAAAAAAAAACAGAAAAAGTTACAAAAAAGAAATAACTCAGAGTTTCTGAGCGGCCGTTTACTATTGTTATTATTTGCCTAAAATTATTATTATTTCCCCCATTTTTCTCCGAAAACGGTTTGAGGGGAATGACTCACGTGCACTGTCTCGGATCGATCATCGAGTCGCCGTAGAGCTCATCATATTTTTTTAAACTTGTTAATTAAATTTTTGCACTAAAACAATTTTTTTTTCAAAATTTTTTTTTTCATATCGATTCTCTGTTGCGGGAAAAAATTTGATATGAAAAAAAAAAAATTTTTTTTCTAATTCTAACTATTTTTTAATGCAGAAATTCAAAAAACTAAAAATTATTCAAATAAATTCAAATAAATTTTTTTGAGCTTAGCTGATTTTTTTGCTCATAGAAGACAACAAAAGCTATAATTAAAAAAAATGTAAATCAATTGATTTTTCGCGGAGTTACAGCTATTTGTTTATAAGCGCTTGAGCGGAACCGCGTTTTTTTTTTATTAAAAAATTAATATTTCGTAAACTATTGGTCGTAGAGATATCAAGTTTGGCTCATTTTATTTGTAATTTAATTCTCTACATTTCATTCGCTGTATGTCTCGACTACTTTTGCGTAGTTTCTGAGATATTTGTATTTATATAAAAAATTAAACAATCTATTTAATTTAATTTTTCCCACTACGACGGTTATGCATCGGGCATGCGCCGAACGATTACGAGCGTATTGCTTACAGCTGTCATATAAAAGTTACTAAATGCAAAATGTAAACATGAAATTTATTTATTAAGCTACATCCATCTGTGTTGGGATAATAATTGTAAGTTATTTTTTATATAGTTTTAATTTTTGTAGAATTCGAGATACGTTAATTTTTTTTTTATCAATCGCTTCATTATTTTTTAATAATATCATAAAAATAAATTCGGCATTGACAGTTCAAGGTCACCACAACTGCTTATCGTTGATATAAATAATTCTGTCAATGTTATGTATTTTTTTTTTTTTCAAAATATGAAGCAATTTTTTTAATTATTTTTAGCATTAATTTTTTTTTATATTCAATAATTATTTATATTTTTTATTTAATTTAGAATATTTTCACGTGCTAGGAAATTTTTAGTACCCAGACTGGCCACCAGGCGGCGCCATTTTAATTTTAAAAAAAGTGGGGTGTACCCTCCTAAAATGGCCTTAAGTGCCAGGTCTGATCGAATTTAACCATAATTGAAACGATGCCAGATCTATACCTTCCAAGCGAGATGGCATAGCTGAAGGATCAGGTTCGGTGTTATCCTCCACTTGCTGAATGCTAGATATTTGGTCCAATCGCTGCTTTTTATTCTTCTTTCCACCCTCATCTTCTTGATCAGCTCCCACCCCTTTTGTCATGTCCTTTTCCTGTTTGATTCCCAGTATTTGAATCGCTCTAAATTTTACATAGAGCCATAAAAACATCTAAACGACTTTCAATAGAATCCGTTTTGAGTGAAAGAAAAATTACCAGTGAACATGATGTTGACGGAACTTCTCCATCCTCTTGAATGAATTCATCCAAGTTCCAGTTCGTGCCAACAGAACGTTCTATCAAAGGTTCAGGCGTCATCAAAGGTTCAGGCGTCATCAAAGGTTCAGGAATACTGTTATCCTCAAATTGATTGGTCAATCTTCGGTGTGATAGCTCTTTCTTCTTCTTCTTCTTCGGTCGTCTCTCATCTTCATAATCAGCTTCCGCTTCCTCGTTGTCTCCTTTTTGTTTTCGTTTTTTAATCTTCGTCTTGCCCTACATTACACACGGATTCATAAAAACAATTCTAACCTCGCTCAGTCATAAAAATCCAGATAATTTAAAGATCAATTTACCGTTGAAGTTGATTTCTTTAACGTCTTCTACCGTATCATAAATTGATTCTAAATTTATTCCATCAGGAAGATCTGATTCTTTCTCAACAGCAGCCAGACGCAGAGGAGAAACAGCACCCTCCAATATCTGGATCTGATTTCCCAATGACTTGATCGACCTGGAGGAAGAAAATAGTCAGAATGACTCATAATGAACTGAAAACGTCGAAATCTGATAAAGACTTGATCATTAAATGTCGCAATGGAGTCAGGAGCCCAAGCAATCATCGGTCATGTAAATGCTGGATGTCATAGTTTTAAAAAGTACACTTACGTGATACTCGAACCACCTTTGCGTCATAATATCTCCATCCTCGCTTTGGCGTCCTACCCGATTTGCTCTTCCGCCATTCAACAACATAGGAATGATCTTCCGGTTCCGTCTTGGGATCAAATTTGTTGACATCGAAGTCCATGATCCATTCAACAGGAACACCCGTAGTGTAGGTCGCATCATACTCGCCACCTATCCACTGAACTAATGCGAATTTAGGCTTCATCGTAATTAACTCCTAAGTCGTCAAATTCCGCACTCGACGAGAAGAAATACAGGGCACAGATTTTTTAATGTCCGACAGATCAGCGAACCTCAAATTATAATTTATTCTTTCGTTTGACTTTCAATTTTTTTTTTTTATTACTAATCTGCACATTTTATTACTTATCTGCATTTTATTACTTATTTGCACATTATCTATAGATATATTCACTAGGGTGGGCCAAAAAAGACTTTTAATTTTTTTTTTCTTTAGCTACCGCGAAAATATCGTCTAAGATGACGAAAAAAAAAATTCTGGTAGAGTTTAAGCTCTTAATATCAATATCTAGGTGTCACGTGGTGATTTTTGATTTCCCATTTAAATAACACGGGAATTTTTTTTTTTTTTTGGAATTTTGATGTATCTCAACGAGTTATTGTGTGGTAAAAATAAATAGATATTTTAATAGAAAATTGAACGGCCTACAAAAAAGTTCTGATATAATTTTTCGCTAAGTCAACTCGGTTAAAAGTTATTCGCAGTTAAAGTTCAAGTAAAATAATATACGATGACTTTCACAATTTTTTATACTTATTAACAAATAAACGGTTTAGAATCATAAAACAACATATTTTTCTCGTTTTTACTTCCCAAATTGATTGAGAAAAACTTATGTTATATGATAACCTACTCCCAATACGGATTACGGGGGTGGGTGTTAACAATGAAAATTTTTAATTTACTAGCTATAGTTCCTACAAACTTAATTTGGTAGTAGTCTTTTATTTGTCATGTAAAGATCATCTCAATACGGATTTCAATAAGTTCTACTTCCAATAGGGATTGCGTGGGTGGGTGTTAGAATTTTTAATTTCAATCTCCAAACTGTAACTTCTCTAAACTCTAAATTTGGTAGTAATCTTTGTGTGTAATCTTCTCTTAAAGTTCAGCTAAGACCAGATTTTATCAAATTTCAACTTTAATAGGGATTGCGAGGGCGTTAAAAATAAACAATTCTTATTTCCAAATAATAGTTTCTATGGACTCAAAATTTTGTAGGAATCTTTTAATTATGTTGTAGAAACCATCTCGAACAAAATTTTATGAAATTCCTTCCCCCTACAGGAGTGCAGGTGTGTTGATTGTCAAAAAATTTATATTCTTTAGATACAGTACATACACTGAAAAAACAAATTAACTTGATTCGAGAAAAATTTTTGAATCAAGAATATAATTTTGAAGAGGGTAATTTTTTTAAATCAAGAAAGACGAAAAATTCTTGAATCAGGTAACATTTCCTTAAATCAAGAAAAATGTATTAGGTCAAGAATTTTTCTACTCAAATCAAGAAGATTAAGTTCTTCAAAATTATATACTTGATTCAAGATCATTTTTTTTCTGTGTACAGAAATAAAATTTGATAGAACCTCAAGAAAAACAGGAAATTCCAGAAGTGGCCTCTAAGGTCAACCGATTTGAATATTTTTTGTTCTTAATAATTAGATATCAGCTAAATTTGGGAAGTAAAAACAAGAAAAATTACGAAAAATATGTTGTTTTATGATTTTAAGCCGTTTATTTGTTAAAAAAAGGCCATTCGGCAGCCGAAATGGAAGTAGATTTCACATAAAGTAAATTTTCATTATAAATATTAATAATAATTTATTTATTTATTAATTATATATAATAATAACAACATAATTTATTTATTTATTAATTATTATATAATAACTTAAAATTTTTTACATTTATTTTCTTTTTACGAATTTTTTATTTTCAATATTTTAACACAAAATTTTAATTTTATATTATAACATAATAAAATAAATTGACGATTTTTTTAACATTTTATTTTAATTTAACTTCAAATTTAATTTTTATTTTAAATAAAAAAAATGATAATTATAGTTTTAGTGAACTACTGATATTTTGGACGTTTGATTGAATTTTCCATGTTTTTAATATAAATTTTCTTAGTACCGTTTAGAAGCCAGCTTAATGGTTTAGGATCTTCTTCAATTTTTTCAATATCTTCCATTTTGTCCACAAGAAATGATACCTCATCATTCTCTATTAAACACAAACAATTAATAGTTAATATTTTAAGTCTCTATTTTTTTTTTATTTTTATGCAATTTTTTTTTATTACCAATCGAATAGTAGATGCATTCCACGTTTTAAAAAAAAAAAATAATTACAAACGTAAAAAAAAAATGTGGAAAACGGTTGACCCTAAGGGCCATCCCTGCAACTTCCCACCAATTCTGTACCTAAGCGCTTAGTTTAACATATTACAATGTTTTTGAGCTCTTCGAGCTCAAAAATATGTTTTTTTTATTTTTGAGCTCTCCGAACCCAAACACTAGCTGTTCTATGCTTTTGAGTTCTTCGAGTCCAAAAGTCTGATGAAGATTTGATAAAACACTATTTTTTGAATTTTCAAACAGCTATTATATAACTTTTGAATGGATCAACTGATTTTCACGGCGTTGGCGGCAATCGACGTAGTTTTTAGAACTATAATAATTATACTATTTCATCAAAAACGATTCGAAATGAAATGTCGGAACTGTGTTAGAAAAACACTTGTTCCCAAACATTCCGTCAATAATATCTTTCAAACCAATCAATCGATTTTCACGTTTTTGGTAGCGATCGATGCGGATTTTTGAGTTTTAATGATTATTCTATTTTATCAAAAATGATCCGAAAAGAAATGTCGGAGTTATATTAAAAAAATGATTTTTTGGAAATTTTTTGTTCACGATATCTGTCAAACGAATCAACCGATTTTAATTGATTTGGCGGCGATTGACGTGGTTTTATATTGTCTAGAGCTGATTTTTTTTGGAATCAATCGTTAAAGCCGTTTGAAAGCTCTCCAAAAACAACCACATTTGAAAAAATTTTTTTTCTTAATTTTTTTAAGATTTCTCAAAATCTACTGATTCGAATCGGTTCAAATTATACTTGAAATTTAAGTTTGGCCAAGCCGAAATGACTTTCAAATAGTACATGGTGGATTCTCAACATTCATATCAATGCCAAAAGAAATACGGGATAAAAGTGCTGTCTTGAACATTCAGAACAATGATATGTACTGTTTCCTGTGGTGTGTGAAAGCTGCATTATTTCCTACATCAAATAGACATCCTGAACGTGTATCATCTTACCCGGACTTAGATAATAAGTTCAATATTAAAGGTATAAAATTTCCTATGAAATTGCATGATATACCTAAATTTGAAAAGCTAAATAATTTAAGAATCAATGTTTATGGTATTGAATCTGAAATTATCAAAGAGGGGGCTAAAAAAACAGAAAATAGTGTAGTGGTCCCATTACATTTAAGTAATAATTTATCAGATAGAAAAACAATACATCTTTTAATGGTAGAATCTGGTAGATGTTATTATAGTAGCGGAAAAGATGATGATGATACTATTACATATGAAAATGTAAAAGATTTTCAAACAATTTTTCACTTTGCTCTGATTAGAAATCTTTCTAGGTTAATAAAATCACAAATATCGAAAGGGCACAGTAAATTATGGTTCTGTGATCGATGCCTATGTCATTTTAAATATGAAAGATCTTTAAAAAAGCATCTGGATGATTGTATAAAATTTAATAATGTTAGAATGAGATTACCTGAGAAAGATGAGGATAAAATCTTGAGTTTTAAAAATTATAAATATAAAGATCCTGTCCCTTTTATTATATATGCAGATTTTGAATGCATTCTAATGGATGTATCTGATAATATTGAAAAACATGTACCACATAGTGCGGCATATTATCTGCATTGTAATTATGATAATTCCCTTTCAAAATTCGAACTCAATCGTTCACCTGACTGCGTAAACTGGCTTGTTGGTGAATTAGAATCGATAGGTCGAAAAGTCAATAAACTTTTCAAAAATATTGTAAAGATGAATCAGCTTACTCCAGAGGAGGAGAATTATCATAAAACGGCTGAAAATTGTCATATATGTGGTAAAGTTTTCACATCCGAGGATAAAATAAGATGCAGGGATCATAATCACTTGACTGGAGATTATAGAGGTCCAACCCATCAAGCTTGTAACCTAAATTATAAACAATCATTTACGATTCCAGTAGTATTCCATAACTTATCTGGTTATGACTCGCATTTTATTATAAGCTCATTAGCAACAGGGTTTAAAGGAAATTTAAATATTCTACCTGTGAACAAAGAGAGGTATATCTCTTTCACAAAATTTATCGCAGGTACATCTGTTTCACTTCGCTTCATTGACTCATTTCGATTCATGGCTGCGAGCATTGAAAAACTAGCTAGTAACCTTACCGACAATGATAAAAAAATAACTCGGAAATATTATCATAATTTTGAAGAGTTCAAATTAGTTACTCGTAAAGGTGTATTTCCTTATGAGTACATAGACTCAATAGATAAGTTACAAGAAAATCATTTACCCTACAAAAAGTTATTCTACTCGAAACTTAATGATGATAATATTTCCAATGAGGATTATCAACATGCTCAAAATGTATGGAGTAAGTTTAATATAAAAACTCTAGGTGAATATTCAGATTTATATTTAAAGACTGATGTATTATTACTCGCAGATATTTTCGAAAATTTCCGTTTTAATTGCTATAAAACCTACGAGTTAGATCCCGCGCACTATTATACAGTCCCAGGATTAGCGTTTGATGCTATGTTGAAGCATACTAGTGTTAAATTAGATTTATTGGATGATACTGAAATGATACTCTTTTTTGAAAAGGGAATTCGAGGTGGTGTTTCACAGTGTACAAATCGATATGCTAAAGCTAATAATAGGTTTATGGATAAAAATTATAATAAAAATGAAGCAGAATCTTACATAATGTATTATGATGTTAATAATCTTTATGGAGCTGCAATGTGCTCATCTTTACCGTATGGATCATTTGAGTGGGTTGAAGATCATGAATTTACCAATATTAATAACGTAAATAAATTTATCAATAGTAACGATAATGAGGTAGGATATATTTTAGAAGTTGATTTGGATTATCCACTCGAACTTCATGATCACCATAAAGATTTACCTTTATGCCCTGAACATTTCATTCCACCAGGAAGCAAGCAATCCAAATTAGCTACAACACTCTACTCAAAGAGTAAATATGTGATTCATTATGAAAATTTGAGGCAAAGTCTTGAGCTAGGTTTGAAGCTTGTAAAAATCCACCGAGTTCTACGATTTAAACAATCAGCATGGCTCAAACCATACATTGAAAAAAATACTGATTGTCGTAAATTAGCTAAGAATGATTTCGAAAAGGATTTTTACAAGCTTATGAATAATGCCGTTTTTGGAAAGACGATGGAAAATGTTAGGAAGCATAAAGATGTTAAGATGACGGGTAAATGGCTTGGGAGATATGGAGCTAAGAATAGGATATCTTCACCCAATTTTCATAGCTTTATGATTTTTAATGAAAACTTAGTCATTATTGAGCTTAATAAAGTTAATGTATATTTTAATAAACCGATATATATTGGTTTTAGCATTTTAGACTTATCTAAAACATATATTTATGATTTCCATTATAAATATATTGGGGAAAAATTTAGTGGTAATAAATCTAAACTATTATATACTGATACTGATAGTTTAATATATCAATTCAATGTACCTAATATATATGAACATATCAGGCAGGATATAGATAGATTCGATACTTCAGACTATCCTCCTGATAATGTTTATAATATTCCATTAAAAAATAAAAAAGTATTAGGTCTCATGAAAGATGAGAACAATGGTAAAATTATGACTGAGTTTGTTGGTTTAAGAGCTAAGCTCTATGCTTATAAAGTTCCTGATTGTTCTAAGCCTGCAGATAGAATTAAAAAGAGAGCAAAAGGTGTTAAAGGTGCAGTTGTACGGAAAATTAAGTTTGATGATTATAAAGAGTGTCTAATGAATCATATTAACATTAGACGTCATCAATATATTATCAAAAGTAGCAAGCATAAAGTAGAAACAATTAAACAAGAAAAATTAGCATTAAGTTGGGAGGATAATAAAAGAAAGTTAATCGATGATTCAACCGATACTTTACCCTGGGGGTATAAAGAAACTCCTAATAAACGAGCTAGATATAATTAGAAATCCTGTAAATGTATATAGATCTATTCAATATTTATATTTTACGATAATAAATGTAATTAGATTAAGGATTTTTCAATAAAAGAACAAAACTTGAAATTATTTCTTTTGTTTAACAATTTATTTATCCATTACATATCAGATTTATTAATCCAGCTGTTATGTGAATTGTCGAAACCTAACCACTTAACATAAGCCTTGTTCCCACGTTCCTTGATAATTTTCTCAACTAAATATATATCATCATATTTTACTTTGCTAAGTTCTTCTGTATAAAAGCCTCCCTGAATCGGTTGATCCTGGTAGTCAACCAATTTATAAGTTGTAGGATTTGTTTTTTGCACAGTCTTGATAGTAAAAATTTCCGTTGTCCAGTTTGGTGTGTATCCTTTCTCGAATATATGTTTATACTTGCTTATACGAACTTTATCTCCAACTTTAAATTTAGTCTTCAGCATGGGAGTTTTCTTTTTAAGAGGTTCATATATCATTTGCAGTACTTGTTTTTCTTTACTAGTAGTTACATCGACTGGTTTCATTTTAATTGTTCGATGTTTAGTGTTATTATAAGTATTCAACAAATCAGGAAGCATGTCAACCCATTTATAAGTACCTCGACTGGTAAATTGCTGCCACATTTTATTTTTGAGTGTTCGATTAAATCGCTCACATATTGAAGCTTTTAAATTGCTGAATGTTGAGTACATGTTAATTTTGTATTGTTTCATAAGGTTTTTGAATTCTTTGTTATAAAACTCTTTCCCATTATCAACATGTAGATTTTGTGGTTTGCGACCTTGTTGAAGTACACTTTTCATTGCATTTTTAACATCATCAGCACTTTTACTTTTAATGGGGACTACCCATGCATACTTTGAAAAAATATCTATTATTGTAAGCAAATATTTGTATCCATTATTTAATTTAGAGTATGGAATCATCTCAACCAAGTCAGCTTGCCATGTTTCATCAATCCCACGTATGTCAACATGACGACGGGGATAATTTCTTCGAGCTAATCGGTGAAGCTCTCTAGCAATAACTTCTTTTTTATCAACCATTTTTAGCAATTTCAGATATCTTTTTTGCGTTTTCTTTTATCCTTTCCTCATCACGCAACAATGACCTTACTAATGAACTAAGACGACTTTCCAATTTATTTATCTTATTTTCTTGATTATTAATAATATTATTCAATGTGTTCACTTTAGCTTCCAATTCGTGAATGATGTTATTTATTACGGTAATTGATTTAAAAGACTTATCATTCCCAGCTCCTATTGTAACATCAACCACATCAACATCTTTGAGATCCCCAGATTCAAGATCAGCAATGCGTTTTTTATTTTGATGTATTATAGTTTTAAGCTTTGCTATCTCCCGATTGACAATTGAATGCATGCTAGATAATATAACAACATCATTTTTATCTATAGGTTCAGCAACATTACACATTCTTTTTCCTTCCAAATCAAAATTACCATCACTAGTTAACTTAAAACCAACTCCTGGTGCACCCGGAATACCTTTATTATACTGAATGTCATTTTTAGATGATGACGTACGTCCAAATATATCGATCATCATTTTTATGATCCACTTGACTTGGCGGTTCACTTGTAAATGATGATATTATAAAGAAAACTTTAATAAATAATCTGAGCCTCACGCAATTCCTCAATAATTGATATTATTTCGTTAGAGTGACTAGAATTACCGGCTGCTTGAGATGCCATAAGTAATCGTAATCTGTCAACAAGCTCATTAGGATCATCCCAGTAAACATAATCAATATTTTTCCGTTTTCTTGAAGCAGTCATGAAGTTAGGTAACCCTGATGAGAATTCGATTTTTGAAATCGGGGTGAAATCAATAACTCCGTATTTAAAAAATTTTAAGTTTTCTTAGCGAGTAATTAGGAATGGTAAATATAAACTAAAAAATGTAAAATCTCCCTAAGAGAAATGAGAAACTATTTTTTTTTTTAGTCTATTTACGTTTCAAGCATGTGTATTTATTTAAGTAGTTTTAATATTACTTATTTTCACTCATTATTGGTTCTGTTTACATTTATAATACGTTGGTAACGTTCAACATACGTTTTTAACGTTTATTACGTTCAAATGACGATTTTAACGTTTAATACGTTGATCCTACGATTTCAATGTCTAATACGTTCAACCTACGATTTGAACGTTCAATACGTTGAATCTACGATTCAAATTTCGACTCGGGTGCTCAGGCCTGTCCATGCCTAGAAAAGTTAATTAAAATTACCCTACGGTAGGTTTTTAATGATAGTCAAAATACTTTTATTTATTGAATAATAAAATATACCATTTATTGAAAATTTACAAATTTATTAATCGAAAATAATGTACATACACTGAACAATTCAAAAATTTTTTCTTAGCATATTTGGTCCTGAGCATGAATAGGCATGGACAGGTATGATCGGGCCTGAGCGTATTTAACGCTTGAGATATGAACATGGACAGGCATGAACAGATATGATCAGGCCTGTGCGTATTTAACGCTTCAGACATGAACAGACATGGACAGGCATGACCGTGTCTAATTTCAGGCCTGATTATACATGAACAGACATAAGGAGGTCTAATTTCAGGCCTGATCATACATGAACAGAAATTTTTAGAAATTCTTTAAACAATTATTAAAAAAAATTATTCCAACTTTCTTATTACGAAATTTTACTACTTCAACTTCCCAAAAATTTTCAAGGAAATTCTTAAATTTAAAAAAAAAAAAATTTCAAAAAATTCCCAAAAAATTTTCCCAAAATTCTTGAAAATCTTACAAAACTTTTAAACAATTTTAAAAAAGTTTTTAAAACTTCTAAAAAATTATAACATTTCAACATTAAATTCAGAAATTTACATCAAACTTTTTCCAAAATTATTAAAATCATTTACACTATATAAATTAAGTAAAATAATACCTTGAACAATTAATTATTAACATAAACGTCAAACATTTTAGCATTACCTTTAAATTCGAGGTTAGTCATATGGTAAACAAATAACATCGGTGACATGACATCAACCATATGACCAGCAATAATTATTATTTGTATAGATAATAATTATAAAACTGTTTCTTCAAATTCGTCAATTCTACAGCTCAATAAAACTTTGTGATAAATAATTATTAATAAATCAACGCACTAGTAAGAGTCACATACATGTCAGTGTCTAAGCTTGTGTGTTAGGTTACTGCCGTCTGTCTCCCAATACAGTCATACTCTACACATTTAAGGTACAATTCCAGTCAAGTACTTTGATTGGCTACAATACATTTTGAATTTACACAGCAAGTTGGAGTAGATGCTACTTAGATTATCCGTATCAGTTCTAAAATTCAAAGTATCATTGACAGAAATATGTACCATCTCACTCACATTCCGTTTATATCGAATTCTTTCTTTATCTAGTATTCTAACATTGTCAAATTCAAATCTGTGTCCAGTTTCCAAATGGTGTAAACTTAAAGCTGTTTTATCTTTTATTCTACCAACATTTCTACAACTGTACAGATGCTGATACACCCTGCTACCTAAATACTGGCTAGATTGTCCAACATACACCCGTTTACAGCAGCATGGGATTTTATAAACCACATTAGAAACTTTTTTTAAATCATCTTTATCTTTCAATGTTGAAAATACTTGACCGACCGTCTTGATGTTATAAAATGCTGGTCTTCAGTCTGTACCTATGAAACATCTAGTAATTGAATGTGAAAGACCCTTGATGAACGGAAATCTAAATCTATTTTCTTGACACTCGCTCCATTTGCATTAGTATTATTTAAATGTATCTCTCTGAATTTCTTAATACATTTATCAATGAAGAAATTCGGGTAATTATTTAGCCTTAATAATTCTTTCACTCTTGCAAAGTTACGTTCATGAAACGAGCTATGACTCAATTTTATTGCTCTAAACAATAAACTTAATGCCACACTCTGTTTTTGTGCTGTAGGATGGTGCGAGCTAAAATTTAGAAGTCTCCCGGAGCTTGTTGGTTTTTGATACCAGTTAGTAAACAAACTCCCATCATCAGACCTTGTTATCATTACATCCAGGAAAGGTATTCTTCCTTCATGTTCACATTCCAAAGTAAATTGAATATTACTATGAAAACTATTGAAATAATGCAATAAATTATCTTTCTCATTCACGGAAACTGCAACCAACGTGTCATCCACGTATAAACATAGCGGTGGAACATTAAACGGTAGTGAGTCGATGATCTTTTTTAATGCGAAGTACATAACTATATTCGCCAACGATGGACTAGCAGGGTTCCCCATGCTAGTACCATCCACTTGCAGAAAGATGCTATTATTAAACGTGAAATAGCTCGTTTCAAAACATATGCTAATCATCTCCATTAGGATTTCTTTCGGTACCTTTAGGAATTCCTTGAAAACATCCCACTCATCAGCTATGATCTTTAACACCAGCTCTTTAGGAATCATTGTAAACAACGATACTACATCCAGAGACACAAGCATATACCCCGATGGTAACCTAACTGAATTCAACTTTCCTACCAGCAATGCAGAGTTCTTAACATTCATTTCAAACGTGTCAATCAATGGAGTCAATACTCTATTGGCAACGGACCACTTTGGCCACGACGTCTGGTGGTAAAAAAAGTACTAGTTTTAGTGTGCAAGCAAAGGATTAACCATAAGTTTACATTGAATGACTATTATGAATTTTAATTATTTATGTTTCCTATAAACGAATTTTTTCGCTGGGTTGGATCAAATCCAGCTCAAAAAAATATTAGAGATGCAGAAAAAATTCTGGAGGCTGGACATTTAATAAAGTGTGGTAAAAATAATGATAATCCAAGTAGTGACGTTGTGACTCTTACTGCATTATGTTTGCAAACTGTTACGTCCGGGTGACGATAACACAATTAATTTATCAGTTCCTTAAATTTGAGACTAATCACTGAAGATTATATGTCTCGGGAACCGCGCCTATAGGTAACTGCACGCGGGATTTGACGCAACACAAGAAATCGCGAAACTAGAGTAATTTTGGAGAGTTTCGACTCAATTTTCGTGTTCTCCTTGGGATAGGTCAGGGCACGAGCGAAAGAGAAGGTAAGTGAATTTGTATTGAGCAGACTGAGAAGGAACTATACTTGTATAAGTAAAATACCATGTTGTTGTTGGGTCCTGGTCCAGGTACCTGGGCGTCGAAAATACTAAGGTCTCTGACCGACAGTATGACGGGCGACTAATTAAGTAAATGGTTAAAATAATTAATTAAGGTATTTATTAATGAATCCGCAATATTGAAGCAGCTTACGATTGTTTATTGTGGTAAATTTTGAGTACAGAGATAACTATCGGTGATTGACTGGTTGGAATATCAGAATTTAATTATTTACTGATTAAAATTTTTGAAGGACGTTGAACTACTGATCACACCCGCGGTTATAGGAAGTACTGGTGTTTCCCGGTTGCCGTGGCTGGGTTTTTATACACTCACAAGTCCCTCCTCCTCATTTACAATTTTAATAACCCTTCGTATAAAATTTTGATGGAATTTCTAGATAATGGCCTACGGAATTTGGGAATCGCTATGCAATAGCAACGCTAATGCATAAAACTCTTTTCTATTTTCTGAGAGTTGAACGCGGTCGGGTTAATACTGATTACCTGCGGGCTGCATTCCGTGACTCAGCGATTGTTTGTTCAGGTGAGAATGCTTGCGATGGACTTGCTAGGCGTTGTCGCGATTAACCTTCCCCTTATCTTCCAGAATGATTTTCTTACGGTGAGAGTTTTCTATCTCGATAATGAAATTCCGATTCTCTATAGCATGGGTGGCCCGAATATTCTTGGTTATTTAAATTTCTTATACTTTTAATTTCGGCTCGGTAATTATTTATTTAGAGTACGCGAGATATCGCGGGGTACATTCACACAGCGTATACGCTCTTTTGATTTGGAAATTCTTACGTGGGTAGTTGTTATTCCCTTTTTCACGATGGTTGGACCGTATGTTGATAACCGTATGTTGGACCGTAAGTTGATAACCGTATGTAGCTGCTCAGATTAATTACTCGGGAGTTGAAATATCTTTTGTTTAATTTATTTTCTCGATCCGAAGAATTGTTTGAAATACTATTTTTGAACGTGAATTGATTATTTAAACCGATAACTTATTAACCAATATGATATAGAACGTAAAAGTAATTAACAGTTTCTGTCTTAATACAGTTAAATTAATTTATTACTCTCTAATTATTAATATTTATTTTATTAAAGCCGATGGCTTGTCTTTTGAATTTGGGTACTCGGTAAATACAATTAAATAAATATTTAATGGGTCATTCTATGTCAAATCGACCAATAGTTGGAATCGACCCCTTTCGATTTGGACGAATTTTGGTCAGAAGTTTTCTTTTATCATATAACGAAGTTCTGCCAAAGGAAAAAAAATAAAAAAATTTTTTTCAAAAGATATGCAAACTCAAAATTTCGCGATTTTTCCAGTTTTTCAATTTTGTTTTTGTAATATCTCGAACGCTAGTATAGATACAGGAATGATCTTTCATTTGTTTGAAAGGGGACACTTGGAGCTATTGAAAAAAAAATATTTTGGGAAAAAATTTTGAAAAATGCCTAATTTGTCAAATTTTGAATTTTTAAAAATCGTCAAAAATGACGGTCGACAATAAATTTTTTGCTCAAATTTTTTTGTATACTACCTTATACCAGTCTTAAGAGATCCTGAAATTTTTGGAACTCTGTTTTTTGTTTTTTCAAAAATATGAATTTTTGAAATTTGTTGAAAAAAAAAATTTTTCTTAAAATTATTTTTTCTCATCGTTATGCCACTAAATGACATTTTAACTGTTCAGAACATCAAAATTACGCGATTTATCAAAGTCAATTAAGATATAAATAAAAAAAAATTTTTGAGAAAAATTTTTTTTCAAATCTTTGATGGAGGACGCATAAGCGCTGAATTGTCTCTTTACGTGAGAGTTATTAATTTTAAGTGGGTCATTCCATGTCAAATCGACCAATAGTCGAAATTGACCCTTTTCGATTTAGACGAATTTTGGTCAGAAGTTTTCTATTATCATATAACGAAGTTCTGCCAAAAAAAAAAAAAAAAAAA